TGTTTTTGTATTCTTTATTCAATCTGTTTTATTAGCTACAATTCAATTTTAAATACCATTAACCAGCTTTCAGTTTCTATTATATTAACCTGAAACATGCTACAGAAATTAAGTAAGACTCTAGATTTTATTTTTCTATTTGTTTTTAAACTTAACATTTCAGACTTTGTATCCCAAATTCAGAGTACCAGAAAAGTAAATTATGCACAATATTTAGGCTTATCTTCAATAGCCTGTTTTGTTATAGCCAATTAGGCTAATTTTAGTGGTGGCCAGAAGCTTCTAAGTAGGAGGGCAGAAGTAACTCCTGTAAATACCAATTTCCAAAATGGTGTCTCTCTGTTGTAGCCCATCACAACAGTTTTAAAACCAGCTTTTGTTTTTGTTTTTGTTTTGTTTTGTTTTGTTGCTTTGTTTTGTTTTTTTTAACAGGAGAGCCAGTGTAACTCCTTCAAGACTGGAGTGACACACACTGCATCTGCATCTGCCTCATGTGAGTTCTCATTTTGGCAGCAGCACTCTGCTAGGCTGGAACCTCTGTAGAGGTTTGCCCTTTATTTTTCTAAAATCTATAAACTACTACACAGTGTGTCTTGGTGGCAAAGGTAAAAAGTGCATGAGAATTTCAGACTTCCCTGCAGAAAGTTTTTGGCTCATTCCAAATGGGCTTTCTCCCCTAACAGATTCTGTCTTATGTCAATAACATGTACTCAGAACAGAGCCTACAGCCTTCATCTCTCCACTATACATAGTTATTTTTGGAAGGGCTGTTTTTTTCCTTGCAGATTATGGAGTAAAGAATATCTTTAAATGCTCTCAGTAGCTTCAACTTTGAAAGCTTTGGTTGTTCTCTTTATAGTCTAGTTATATAACCTGAGAACACAGTGTGCTGTCCTAGTGGCTGAAGCAGTCCTCTTTTTGAGATTTTGTCCCTTAAAGTAACTTCTTCCTTTGTCTTTGGATATTGGGTAAGTTGGGGTAGGCCTGAGGACCTTCTTGGAAAATAAATAAGCAGTTAATGTGTGAGGTTATGTTTGCTTTGAAGCTATTTCTGAACTACTGAAAGTCAGTTGTAAGAGTTGAACTTCAAGCTGTGCATCATTTACTTTCAATTTTGTGAGAGAAATTGAAATTAAAGCCTTATAGCTGTGGAGAGGCAGAGAGTCCTGTAGTCTGATGTGATATGTATATGGCTCCCCACAAATATCTAAAGCTAGTTTCGAAGGGCCTGGTTGATTAAAAAAGGAATTTTGCTTTTTATTTTTAGTTTTAAGGAATGGTGATTCTTTGCAATAAACTTCAGGAATTTTTGCTACCAGGTTAGAACAAGTAAGTTATTCCTGAGGGACATTTAGAATAAAGCATCTGAATTCGTGTGCTGTACAGCTACAGTTCTACTTCTCCAGCCCTGGTTGTACTGTATGGTTTTCTAGCAGATGATTTAATGACTTGAGGGTTCATGTTGCTGAAATGATTATCCGGGACGCTTCTGAGAAAATGTCAATAGCTTGTAGGTCTTACTGATTAATATAGAGCTTGGTGAAATAGATAGTGTTGTCAGAGTAGAACTTGGACTCCCTTAGATAAGTCCGTTCCCACTTGTGACTGGCACAGTTTATTTTGGACTACTTGAAAGAAATTGGAGGGAGTAGTAATGTGTTTCAGCACCCAGGCCAACATTTTGAAGGCCTATATGATCAAGAAATTAATTCATTGTTAGCTATGGTGTTACACTATGTTGGATGAAACTCAAGAGACCTAAATTCTGCCTTCAGCCAATGTTTATAGTTGCTCTGTAACTTTGGGTCAGTAAATGGGGAAGATGCATAGTATTTTGGGGGAGTACCCCGAACTCATTGAGAGAAAGAAATTTTAAAGTATTTATTTCTATAGGTAGAATTTTTTTGTAATTTAAGTTAAATATTTGGGAAGTTCTACCCTGTGAATAAATAGTGTGGCATATGTATAGTGTTTTATTTTCTGCTATTCTAAGATTTGTGCTGGCGAAACAGTGATGTGAGATTCCCCTGCCCCATATTTTTTCTCCACTAGATTTTCTAAATGAATTAATTTGAGCTTCAGTCTAAATTGTCTCATTGACATAGGTTTTAATCACTAATTACTCTATAATTACTTTACTCTCTAGGGAAAAATGCTTAGTCAGGGGTAAACCTGAGTGGGGGTTATTTATTTTGTCCCCCTTTCTCAAGGAATATCTGGCAAATTTATCCTTCTGAAAAGTAATAATTTAAAATATTTTGGGAACCAGCAGTTAACGTAATGGCTATGTCGCTGGACTCCCATGTAGTTGACCGCGGTTCGCGTCCCGGACCCGGTGGCTTAAAACTCACGCGGGGCACGTGTGCGTGCGTGCTCAAGATCCCGAGAGGAGAATGGAGGAGAAGGGATTACGGTGTGACCATCCCCTCTGGGGGGTGATTTCTCGCTTTCTGTCTCCATGTCTCTCTCTGTCTGTCTGGCAAGCGCAAGCACCCTATAGCGAAAATCTCTCCAAAAAAAAAATTTTTTTTTATATGGGCCAAATCCTGTAAGAAAAAATGTCCTTAGAGTACCCAGATTACTTAACTGTACTGGGCTTTTATTTCATTAAATATTCTTTGAAATAAATGGGGCCTTGTTAGGATTGAGAAGTAATTTTTGTTCTGTGGAAATTTTGTTAAAATGAGATTTTCTTGCAGATAGAGTGGGAAGAGAGGGAGGGGGAAGAAAAGGTGAGAATACTGTTTTCTTTTCTCTGCATAACTCAATTTTGCATCAGTGAGTTCCATGTGTAGCTGGTTTTATAATACACCAGTTCTTGCTATGTTGGTGGGTATGCATATGTAGCATTTCCTTTACCATAGTGTATATTATATGGATTTATGAATTCCACATATAAAGCTTCAACAAGTTTTATGGGTTTTGGTGGTGGTGGTGACAAAAATTGAGGGCAAGAAAGAAATACAGCCAGTTTTGAAAACGTTAGCCAGGGTTAGCATTAACATTCAGTTTTTAATACCCTTGAGACAACAAAAGAAACAAAGACAGCTTCTTTTGGCATATTCTGATGAAATGAGAATCAAGCAACTCCTAAAGGACTTAAAAATTATAAACTTTTTTTAAAAAAAAATCTGACAAATGTATGTTAAAGGATTTTGAAAGCTGAGCTTTCAAAAAAAGCTTTCTTAAAATGTTCAGTTTAATTTTAAAAATAGATAAATGCATTAATATTTTACAAGTTTTAAAGATAGAGAGGTACATGAAAGTCTCCTTTCTTCTCATTTCTTAGCTATTCTGTTCCTTTCTTTGGAGGCAACCAATATTACTGGTTTCTTTTATGTATTTCCAGAAACATTCTAAAGGGTTGCTTTTGAAAAGAGACAGTTGAATAGTACTCATTATACTCATTAAAATATTAACACAAACTTGGATAGGCAGACTAATTATAATGGAAAATCAGATTGACCATAGGCTAAAGATGTTTTATTTAGATGAAAGAACTTTAATAATATGATAATAATAGTTGTTTTATTATTATTTTATTTATTATCATCATTTTTAATTTGCCCATAGAGAGAGAGCAAGCGAGAAGGCAAGCTGCCGGGTCTGGGACTTGAACCATGTTTGGCCATATGGGAGTCCAGCACCTCAACTACCACACCACCTGCTGGTCCCAACAATTGTGTTATTAAAAGGCTATAAGAATAGAGTAGTTTTTTTGTTTGTTTTTGTTTTTTTGCCTCATTTGACATGTAGCAAGCTGGCAGGTTTTTTTTTTTTTTTTAATTTTAATATGGCTTACCCACTCCTAGGGCCTTATGGAAAGATGCTGGTTACCTAGTTATTTTATTTGGAAGAAATCTATTTAAAGGAACAATATTTCATGTTGAACTGCAATGATAACTCCAGAAAGTTTTTTCATTATGGAAAATTTTAGATTCATACAGTAGTAGAGAGTCCCTTGTAACCTGAAATTCATGTTATTTGATCTGTAATAAACTCAGTATGCTCCTTTGGCATATAAAGACACACACACACATACACACACCGCTATATAATAATTTTTTTTCATGAGAGAGAGTATATAAGAGAGGTAGTTTTGACAGGTTCTTGCCATGTCCTCATCCTTTCTACCCAGCCCCCAGTTAGCTGAGACCTTACGCATGTCCCACTATACGTAGCCTGTTTAGATTGGTCTGGAAACCAAAACCAGGCCCCCTGTATTGCCTCAGCCATGTGCTACAGTGCCCACCCATTGCACCACATGGCTAAATCCAGAGAGGTATATTTTTTATACACATACTCCAGGAACCCATCCTGCCATAATCACATGTAATAAGGTGTATGATAATTCTTTAATGTATACTTCCCATTTAACATCTAGATTTCTCTAATTGCCTCAGACATTTCTTTTTAATGGTTGATTTGTAACAATAACCTGTAAAATGCAGTTTTGATGGCCATAACATTGTTAGGGCTGATAAGAAAACAAGTTAACCTAACGTGTAGAACAAATACGCCAGTTGGAGGAGTAAAAACCAACTACCAAGCTAGATAAGATCTCCAAAAATAGACTTAAAAGAGAAACCCCATTTTGAAGGATTCCTGCATCAGTTATGCACATCAGTGTTTTGTTCAACATACATAGATCTCTCTTACCTAGTTTTCTGTTTACTCACTCTCAGGTTTAATATCACAACTATGCACAGTAGTTATTTTCTGCCTTTCAATTGTGGGAATGAAAGAAAAGATAAAGGGGGAAAATGTTTGGGATAAATTTCCTAAGAATGAAGGAACTACTCTAAAACGTTTGACAATTCACCTTGCTGCTGCTGCTCCTGCTGTCAGTGACCTATTTCCATAGTGGGGGGGGGGGGGGGGGGGGAATGGCAGATTTAGGAGGAGGGAGGAATTGGGAAAAAGTAAAAACTCATTCATTTGCTTTGTATTTTAACTGGCTGGTCTTTATGCTCACTAATGAGAACCTCTTCTTTGTGCAGTGTACAAGTCCCCAGAGTATGAGTCCCTTGGCTTTGAGCTTACTGTGGAGAGATTAGTTTCTATTGGCTATCCCCAGGAGCTGCTCAGCTTTGCATATGATTCTACATTTCCTACCAGGTAATTTTTGGATTAGGACCACTTCCCTTACTCCCAAAATTAATTCCAGATTCATCCCTGATCAAAGAATAATTGTGTGTGTTTGTATGTGTGTGTGTGTGTGTTGGTTAGTATTGTTTCTAAAATTACTGTAAACATTTCATGTGTAATGTATCTTTTGTGTCCTTGAATTGAGCTCAGTTTATTGTTATTAAAGAATACCCACTTACGAATAAGAAAAGGGATAATTAAAATGGATCACAGATGATCACAGATGGTCCTAACCTTGGCTATTGAGTAGTTCCATGTTTTACTAATACACTTAACTTGGTAGCCAGAGCCCTCTGCCTTTGCAATTTGCAGTCTGGGTTTGATATGAGAGATTTAAGGCTAAGGAAGATGATGTTTATTTGAGATGTGGTCACATAGGTCCCACATATAGCATCTAATAGAGGAGAATATAGTTGTCCAAGAAAATTGAAAGAACCTGTTTTAGCATGGTAGTAGGTATGTTAAGAGGGATTATAGTTCACATTTTGTTTGATTAAGCTCTAATTCCTTATGGAAAACAATTACAATTATTTTTCTGGATAGATTAAATATTTTTTAGTCACTCTGGGATTAGTGTTTTTAAGATTTTAATATACTCATTTTAGCCTCTAAAGTCAAATTGTTTTGGGACATACTTTAGTTGCCACAGAGCAACTAAAGTATTAGATGAGGTTGGTTCATGGTTATTTAGTAGCACTACATAAAATTACTACTTTACTACTTTGCATTATCAATGATGTCTTTTTCCTATAGGGGGCTTGTCTTTGACACACTATATGGAAATCTTTTGAAAGTTGATGCCTATGGAAACCTCTTGGTCTGTGCACATGGATTTAACTTCATAAGGGGGTGAGTACAAAAAACTTTTATCCTCTTCCTAGTGTTGATACAGTCCAATGATATGAATTTGACATTTTCTCCCTAGATGTAATATTCTTTCCTATTCCTTTAATCATTAAAGAGTAATTCCTTTACATAAAGATAGTTAACAGTTACTTATTAGGCATTTAGAACCCAAGTTTATAAATACAGTTAGCAATTACATTTTGTTTAAATGAAGGTACCTTCTAATTATACAGCATTTCAGCAAGACTAATCTTGAAACTTGCCCAAAAATAACTGTAGTAGTATTTACTTATTTGAAATTCTAAGATATTTATTTTCTCCTTTTTAATGCACTTCTCAGGTAGCAGCTCAGAATAGGTATGTACTTGAAACACTGAAAACTTTTAAACTACAGCAACTTTAATGACTAGGAGATTTTAAATAGCTAGTTCATTATTTCTGTATTATAATATAATGAATGGCCTCAGATATTTGATTGTGATTGTGTGACTAAAATTTTTGTAAAATGTGGAGTTATTAATGAATATCTGTATTCATTAGTAATATTTAAAATGAGTAAAGATAAACTTTATTTTCATAATCAGAATATTCCCACTAATATGGACTTTTCACTCTAGTAAACAGCAGATAAAATTTAGTATCTACTTATTTTTTACCTTTTTTTTGATGAGACATTTATTTTTTTCTTGAAATGATCACAATACCACAATTTAACAATTTCTATAATTATGGCTTTATAATTATGTATTATTTCTAAAGTATACTACTTGATTTACTACTAACATTGTAATAGAACCAGAACTTCTCCCCCCCCCCCCCCCCCCCCCGTAGGACATGTGCACTCATGGGAGAGAGAGAGAGGCAGAAAGAGGGAAAGTGAGAAATTACCCCCAGGATCTGTGGCCACACTGCAGTCCCCTCTCCATTCTACTCTCAGGATTTGGGACACACACCCATGGGCCCAGTGTGATTTTTCAAGTTGTTTGGTCCAGAATTCAAACTGTGGTCATTTAACCAATTGGGAATCCAATGCCTTAAACACCATGCCACTTGCTGGCCCCCAGTTTTTTTTTTTTTTTTTTTTTCTTTTTCCTTTCTTTCTTTTTTTTTTTTTTTCTTTTTTAATTGCCAGAGGGTGTTTATGCTCACCAGAGAAGAGGAGGGGAGGAAGGAAGCACCTCACAGAGGTGTGGCCGTGCCACAATCCCTCCTCCTCTATTTCTTCATCCTGTTGGAATTTCAGGCACACATGCACACGCATCATGTCTGTTTCTCTGGGGCTAAGATTTGAATTGTGTAGTCAGCCACCTGGGATCCAGCTCCCTTAACTACTGGGCCACAGGGTTGGTCCCACAGCCTAGTGGTTAAGGAGCTAGATCTCACATGAATGATTGCAGTTTGAATCCCAGCTTCAGTGGCTTGAGAAATACACCTAGTGTGTGTGCCTGTGTGCCCCAAATCCCTACATTATGGAGAAATGGAGGAGAACAGATTGTAGTGTGACCATGCCCCATTGGGGGTACTTTTTTTTTTCTCTCTCTCTCTCTGGCAAGCATACGTACTCTCTGGGAAAAAAAGGAAGAAAAAATTATTTAAAACAAAATGGGTTATGTCTCAGTTTCTCATATAGCTTTTTAATTTTTTATGTTCCTTTCATGAGAGAGAGAGAACAAGAGAGAGATAAGCGCCCCAGTGAGGTCTCACACCTCAACCCCTCTCCCTACCCTTTTCCAGCTAGCAAAGATGATGGGTACAAACACACAGCCAGCATGCACAGATTGACCCAGGAACCAAATGCTGATCTTCCATGTGGCCTCCAGCATTGTAGAGCATTGAACTACTGCTGTACTGTCATGGCTGGGCCCAGGTATTATTCATTCTTGATGGCAAAGCAGTAAAAAGGGCAGTCTGCATTGAAATTGTCAAAAAGAATTGCCTCTTTGGCAAATATTTTTTATGATAAGAGGCACAAATTAGCTGAAATTGTACCAGAACATCTTTTGAATCTGAGGTCACAGCAAAGTTACAGTTAGAATAGAAGCAACTGATATAAGACTATGGCTGGCATTACTAACATTACACAGGCTCAAAGATATCCAGGTGTGCATAGAACAGTGTGAATTAAAACATGCACCTTGACATATCTGGGCAAGCCAGTGGTTACATAACATCTTTATCATTGTTCCTCTCAAGAGGAGTTTGTTCAAGATCCATGAATATCAGGAAACAAAATGAAGAACATGAAGTGATTGCAGGTAGTACTGGCAACCTAAGCTTATTTTATATACAGGTATTCAGAATCCCAGTGAAGATGAGCCAGGGTTCTGTGTGTGTCTGAATAGGGATTTTTGTTTTATGTGGGGAGGGGAAGGGAGAGAAGGGAAGAAAAGCAGTTTGATAAATTAGTACTGCAATCAATTACTAACTAAAGATTCATAGACTTCTTCTTTTCTATCAAATAAGCCAAGAAAGTTTCCAAGTAGCTCCTTTGGAAATATATTTAATAGTGTTTCAGAAATAAGTCATTTATGGGACCAGTAGTTAGTGCAATAGCTATGTCGCTGGACTCCCATGTAGTTGATCGTGGTTCAAGTCCTGAACCCGGTGGCTTAAACTCACGCTGGGCGTGTGTGCCCAAGATCCTGAGAAGAGAATGGAGGAGAAGGGATTGCGGTGTGGCCATCACCCCTGGGGGGTGATTTCTCGCTTTCTGTCTCTCTGTCTCTCTCTGGCTTTCTGGTGAGCACACGTGCCCTATAGCAAAAACCTCTCCCCAAAAAAGGCATTTATAAATATATGTAGAGTTTTTCAAACAGCATTTATCACTGTCAAAAAGAATTATCTTTTTGGCAGATATTTTAGAATCAGAAGGAAAAGCCTATCAAAAGGAACAACTGAACATGGAGGGAAAGGAAGCAGTAGTTATTAAAATATATGGTGGAAAAGGCTAGAAGGTTTAAGTCAGGGCTTCATCAGGTATCTCCTTACATACCTTAGTGCTAAGCTGGGACTTCATTTTTTAAACATGTTCATTCTGTGGGTCATAGAAAGTTAATAGTAATCTGTACTATATTTCCTTTCCAACTCCACATGTAGCATTCATTCTTTTAAATTGATTTTTATTTTTAAAAATATACTGGTATGGTTTGACCCTTAATTTAAATAAATGTAGTTGCTAACTATAAATCAGTTTGGGTAATAACTGAAAACTGTTAACTATTATTATGTAAAGATACTGTTCTTTAATGATGATGAGAATAGGAAAGTGTATTTTATCTAAGGAGACAATGTCATCTTGCTAAACCTGACTGAGGAAATTGCATCATTATTATTCCCTTCTGCCTTATTTTTCATTACAGAAAATTTCTAAGGTAGATCACATATTTTATAAAGTTTTTCTTTAATGTCCTTTTATATGCCTAATTTAGGTTTATGCTGTTTGTAGTTAACAAACTCAAGTAGGAATACCTAAGGCACTCTGAGTATGAACTTTAAATTTGGTTTCTTTTGTTTAGATTCACTAGTCTCCATATATTCACTGTCAGAATTGTACATGTTTTTATATTTTAGTCTTTTGCCTTTTCAGTTTCCTTGATACATTTTATTAGTATTATCCATTTCTTCTTGAAGTGGTTTATATTATTCTCTAAGCTTCTCATGTGTCTCTCACTGCTTCTATCCACTTCATTGGTTTCTTTCCTTTTAAACTCTTGACGGTTCTCTATGGTTCTGTTCTTAGTCGCTTTCTTATCCACACTCTTAAGTAACCTCATATACTCTAATATAGTTTTCATGATTTCATCTATTACTATGTATAAATGATCCTAATTATCTCCCAAGTCTGAATCTCAGTCTTAAGTTCTTGAACTTTGTTTCTCATTGCCTGATACAAATCTTTTTACTTCAAGATTGGTATAGGCAAAATAGAACTCCTCTTATATCTTCCTCTTCTTATCCAATTTCATATTTCTGTTATCAGTACCAGTCACCTCTCAGAGACCCCTTAGTGTCAGCATCCTCATCTTTGACTCTCACATTCCTCATCTGCCACATCTAATCGCATGCCCATTTTGTTCATTTTACCATGGCAGTCTCTCTTGAATACACTCTCATTTCCTTTGCTACCACTCCAGGACAGGCATATTCTGCCTGTTTTCAGCTGGACTACTGTATTAACCTCCTAATTGATCTCTCAGTACTTTGTGTCAGTTATCTTTTTCTGTATAGTAAATTACTTCAAAACTTAGTGGCTTAAAACAGTGAGCTCAAAATTCTGAGAGTCAGCTGGAGAGTTCTGAGGTTGCTCAGCTAATCTCTATGGGCTCTTTCACTTGTCTGCAGTCAGCTGATGAGTCAGCTGGCAGCTGCTCTAGAATAGTCTTGTTCATATGTCTAGCTGTTGGCTGGATGCCTCATTTCTGCACATGGCCTTTGAGCTTCCAGCAAACTCTCTCACTGTCATTCACATAGTAGTGTCCAGGTTCCAAGTTCAGCGAGAGAGGGCAAGCTCACATTATGGTTTAGATAATGGTTTGCACCCCACAGTTTCATGTTCTAAAATTTGATGTTGGAAGGTAGTGGGCAGTGATTGGATCACAGTGATTTCATCTCGGAGGCAACACTCATGAATAGATCAGTATCTTGTAAGACCCAGTGAGTTCTTGCTCTCTTGAGAAAGGGGTTAGTTCTCTTAAGGGCTAGGTGTTGCTTTGTTTGCTATAAGGCACATGCACTTGCCAGAGAGAGAGAGAGAGAGAGAGAGAGAATGTGAGAAATCACTCCCCAGTGGGGATGACCACACTACAATCCCTTCTCCATTCTCCTGGGATTTTGTGCCCAGTGTGATTTTCAAGCCACTAGGCTGACAGGTCCACAACTTTGTAGTAGCCCCTGTGGCAGTCCAGTGTCTTAACCACAACGCCACCTGCTGGCCAAGAGCTGGGTGCTTTAGAAGGGAAAGCTGCCTATAGCACACTTGCTCCCTACATGCACCTGCAGTCTTTCCTGTCAGCCATATTGTAGGCTAGCCTGATGCCAGCCTATGCCTTCCGACTTTCAAATTGCCAGAATTGTGGGTCCTTAAACCTCTACTTCATAAATGCATCCAGTCTCAGGTATTTCTGTGACCAGTACAGTAATGGACTAAGATACCCCAATATACGAGTGTTTTCCAGTTTCTTCTTGGATTCCATTTGTTGCTGTTCAAACTTACATTCAAGGATGGAAAGGCAGACTGAGCTTCTTAGGGGAGGGGCCACAAAATGTCATCTTAAAGGGGTGGGGGAAGAATTTGTGGCCATTTTGCAATGTATCACTTTTTCTTTCTCTGGTTTATCCTAAAACTCCTACTGATTTAATCTTTTTGCACCTTCTCCCTCTACTAGAAAACTTGGAATAATACCTTCTTGATTCAGAAAGAAATGTATGAACAAATGTTCTGCCTCAACCCATCTTCCTGGTTGTATTTCTCAAATTGGACTGGTTTCTTTTCTTTTTTTTTTTTTTTGGAGAGGTTTTCACTATAGAGCGCTTGCGCTCGCCAGACAGACAGACAGAGACAGAGAGACAGAAAGCAAGAAATCACCCCCGGGGGGATGGTCACACTGCAATCCCTTCTCCTCCATTCTCCTCTCGGGATCTTGGGCACGCATGCACATGTGCTCGGCGTGAGTTTTAAGCCACCAGGTCTGGGACGCAAACCGCGGTCGACTATGTGGGAGTCCAGCGACATAGCCATTACGCTAACTGCTGGTTCCCAAATTGGACTGGTTTCTGAACTGGTTTACCAAATCTTTAAGCCCCAGTTCAGATACCACCACATTAATTATTCCTAGGTTTTCCTCTTATTCCTCATATTTGCATCTCTCTACTTCTTAAATTGAAATGGTTTCCCTATTTTCAGTTTTCTGATAGCTTTTTGTACCTTTCTTATAGTAGTTTGTGTGTGCGTGTGTGTGCGTGTTTACGTTATAATTGTGTGTACACATGACTCACCTTCCTTATCAAATGAAGAAGTCTTTAAGGGCTGGAACCCAAGCTAGTTCATCTTGGTAGATGCTTACACTTAATATTTTAGAGCCCTGTCAATGCACTTTGTTACCACAGTATTGGAATGAATTTTTGAAAAATGTATTTTCCCTA